ATTTTCGACGGATTGTAATTCATTGTTAAGAATTAAGATTATGTTAGTATTATTTTCTCTTGTCATGTCGTTCTTTAAATTGGATAGAAAAAAAAGAAGGAAAGATGGGGAAAAGGACATGTAAGTGTTGTAAAATTGTTATTAAATGAAAAATAAAGATTGTTGTTTCTCGATCATTGTTTGTCCAATTATGTCGTGTTTAAATATAAATTTCAGCGTATAATCTTTGGGTTTTGACTATTGTGATTGAAATTTACTAATCTAAAAGTTTGAAGAACTTAATTATCTTCTGTATTTTATATGGGTGTTAGTTTCTTATGGAGTAATTGTTAAGGTTTCCTTCGATGAAGGTGTATTACAAACCTTTTAGATTGATGGGAAAGATTTCTTATGAAATGGAAGAAGAAAACTAAATGTTTTTTAAAGATTACTTCTCCAATTATGTTGATTAAAATGTATATATCAGTGTAGAAGCTTGGGATTCTGAGAGATGAATATGAAGAATTTATCTTTTATAATTAATTATTTTTTCAGTCATTTTTGTTTATAAATTATAATGTTTTCGCTTTGAATTTTCGCATGTTTGAGAACTTTCACGGCACATATTTGTAGCCAATTTTAGGGAAAAAAACAAAGAAAAACAATTCTTTAGTAGAATATAGTTGAAAATTTGAACTTAGATTGGCTACATGAGAATATATTTATATATGATACGCCCTCAAGATAGCTGGCCGAATGGCATACACACAACATATTATTACATCTAATCAATATAGATAGTGTTAATAAAGTTGACAAACTAAGAAGACCCTTCTTATGTGAATGAAATTCAGAAATTCAATTATGACTATGTCCAAAGTGGGTGATTTTGGAGTGATAATAAAATCATACTCTTTAAGTATTCAGCAACTAAAAGTTTTGCGGATAAAGCTGATTATGTACTAACATTGGCTACCTTAATGGGTTTCTACATCTATTTTTATAATTTGTTATTAAACTGACATATGTTCTGTGAAAGACACTTCTTGCATTATTGATATTCAAAAATTACGAAGGACACCAAAAGCAAATGTCCAGTGACCCAAGTCTTTTGTTGATTTAACCTTTTATATCCACTTATACAATTTGAACTCTAACATTTACATGCATTAATAACTACGTTCTCTGTTTTAAAAAGATTGTCTTAGTTTGATTTGTCACAGACTTTAATAAAAAAGTAAATTTTTTAAGTATGGTCTTAAATAAGCCATAAAATTTATGTGGCTGCAAAACGTTTGAAACTTGTGGTTTGAATCATAACATTTGTATGGCTATAAATACTTCATATAAAGGAAATATTGAAAATTACCAATCTTTTTGAAACATACAAATAAAGAAATAGTGCCAATTTTTTTGAAAATAAAAAGCAACCCTTGATATTTTCGGAAAGAGCAATTAAATTGTTATGTGGTTGAAAGATAGAGAAGATAAAGTTAACGCAAAAATACTGCTTTCGATATTGTTTCTTAGAGCAATTAAATTTCAAAAGGAAGGTATCAAAAAATAGTTGACAGTGCAATGTGAAAACGGAGTTGGATTCTGTGAAAGAGTATGCATGTTGGCTTATTCATAAAAGATCTAAAGATTATGCGAGAATGCTAGCTGGTTTATTCAATTTGTAATTTAGAACTAAATTAATGTTTTTTGAGTATGCACTTCCTATTATTAGCATATATATTTCGCAAGAATATAATATGACATACACGTGGAGAGACTAGTGTACTGAAATATTGTGGCTAAACATGTACGTTAGATTAAAAAGAAAAATGTAACGTGCAGCTAATCATCATAATGGAAGTAGATATTACTGCCGCTACTACTGCCAATTAAAAATATAAAAAAAAACTTGCTTTTTTTCTTTTAAAAACTTAAAAGCTACCTAGCTCATCATCAATTTCTAAAGCAAAAGCATTTCCTAGTTATAACATGAAGCTTCTGAAAAGGAAAAAAGAAAAAGTGAAAGGTATATAAAGCAAAAACCAACAGCAAGATTCTCTTTTTAATCAGCAAAACACTTTCCTAATGCGACAGTCTTCCTTAACTATACAAATCTTGGTGCAGAAGATCAAACTCAACACCTTCAAGCAATTTAGTCTCATATGGCCATTTCATTAGCAAACAATTGGACATCAACTCAGTCCATCTTAATAATTTTTCTTACACTTCAGTTTCTGATCATCACAGAAGCTCAATCAAGAATCTGCAGAAATTCTTGTGGTGATATTCCAATTCAGTACCCTTTTGGCATTGATGATGGCTGTGGCAGTCCATATTATAGGCATGTTCTTGTTTGCACAGGTGGTCAACTTCAACTTAGAACTCCTTCTGGTAGATATCCTGTTAGAAATTTAAGCTATACTGATCCGCATATTCTTGTAACTGACCCCTTAATGTGGAATTGCCTAGATGGTGACAATTTTCGACCAACCAGGCCATTTAGTCTAGATACTAGCACACATTTCACTTTATCTCCTGAAAATGACTACTTGTTCTTCAACTGTAGTGAAAGTGATGTGATAGTTGAGCCAAAACCAATGTTCTGCGAGCGTTTTCCTGATCAGTGTGATTCAACGTGTGATAGTTCGAGTTATCTTTGTAGGCATATGCCTGAATGTCCTTCTGCATTGAGGAGTAGCTCTTGTTGTTCTTACTATCCCAAAGCTACTGAATCTTTGAGGCTAATGTTGAAGCATTGTGCTAGCTATACTAGTGTTTATTGGAGAAATCTTGGTGCTACGCCCGCGTTTGATCAGGCCCCTGAGTATGGAATTAGAGTTGATTTTGATATTCCAGTGACTACACGATGCCTGCAGTGTCAAGATACTGCTAAGGGAGGGGGAACTTGTGGCTTTGATACAGAATCACAGGATTTTTTGTGCTTGTGTGACAAAGGGAACAGTACCACCTACTGTAATGGTATGTCTGAAGAATTTAAGTTATATACACTAAGTATAATTTAACATGTTAGAGTAAGTTATTCATCGAATCTTGTTATATAAAGTTACTGGCAATTACCATTGTGTAAACATTTTTTTCTACGGTTAATGCATAGAACTTAAACACATTATTGTAGTATCTCAAAAATGCTAGCTGTCTATTTTCTATTTTTTTGTCATCATTGCTTGATTTTCAAAATGCGTCAGTACTAAAGGAATGTTTATTAATTATGTTAAGGTAAATCTTGATTAAGTATAAATGGCTCAAGTTAATTTACTTTTAATGATTTACAGATCGTACGAGCTCTCACAGAAGAGGAGTCGTTGCAGGTACTTATTAGATTTTGTTGATCAATGACCAATTAATTTGCTAAGAGCTTTCAACTTCATACATTTCTTGCAGCCTCTTGCAGAAATGCATGGTAAGGCTGCGTACGATAGACCTTTGTGGTCCGGCCCTTCCCCGGACCCCGCATAGCGGGAGCTTAGTGCACCGGGCTGTCCTTTCTGAGATTTCTTGTACAAAATCTATTTGAAATGATGCAGGAACAGCAACTGCAGTGTCAGTTGCAGGGGCATTTGGAATAGGAGCTGGTGTATGGTACTTGAGGAAACTGAGAACAAAAGCACCAGTAACTCATGGAGTTCAAACCAATGAGAATAGACTTTTCTGAGAGCATCTTCTGAAGTAAAAAAGAAAAAAGAATTGCTGTATTTCTTCTTTTCTTTACCATTTTTCAAGTTTTTCCCCCTTCTCTCTTTTAATTCTTTTATATAGCATAATCTTGCACTTTAATTGGTTCTGTTTGTAAGTTTAAGGAACCAACTTTTTGGTCTTGCATGTTTGGCATTGCTTGAATGTGGAGTAAAGGAATGTCTTGGAGAAACTGCTGCTCTGCACCTTGTGAGGTCATGTTTGTTATACAAAAGACGGTCAAATCACTGTTTACTTTTTCTAGCCGGTATACATAGATTATACATAGTTATACACATGAACTATACATATAATATATATATATCTGCAAGCTATTTTTAGTTTAAGAGATTAGGTGGACGGCTATTTGGGTTAATTCTTCTTTTCTCAGCTCCCTTTCCTGCGTGAACCAAATTCGATTCTAAGTAGAGATTCCAAGATTACCAAAAACTAGTTAAGTTGGTTGATTGTATAGTTCATCTATTTGATTTCTCTGATGTCTAGTTTTGAAATTGAACTTTTGTTGCAATCTGTACTCTTAGTAGCAGAGATAATGAAGATGATAGAAGCATATACAGCTCAACAGGCAATAGAAAAGTTACTCCTTTGATATTATATTACACCCTTCTAAAATCCATTGTCATTCTCAACAAAACAAACTGTGTTACAGTACTATAAACTATGAGGAATACAACTTTCTCCATATCTCAAAGAAACTTAAATCTCCAAAATCCTGAATCGTTCTTGAACTTACCAAATATGGTATACGTTAAGTATAAATTAAACACGCTTCCAAAATTATGTCTACTTCGAGGCATTAAAAAATGCTGCCAAAGATATACAGGGAATGGTGATAGGAAAAGGAAAGAAGAAATTTTGTATGATTAGCAAGGTTCACTGACAACACATTGAAGAGGACCAGCATCAGAAGTTAAAGAGGGAGTTAACGATCCTTGAGCAACGATAAACGATTGTCCTCTTGTGTATTTTGGAGCAATACTTCCATATCCAGATGGATTAAAATATGCTCCATTCACAAACACATCTTTTGAGGACCTCCATTTCCAACTCTTCCATCCCCCTTCATGAGTTTCCCTCTTGGTGACCTGTTATATATATCATGACTAATATAAGATCATCTGTATATAGCAATGGCAATGACATTAGTGTAAGTTGTTTTTTCGTCGCTAATTTCTAAATTTGTGGTTCTCAAAAAAGTAAAACTTCAAACTGGAAAAGCAATGAAGAAAGTGAAAATATCTGATCTTCTGGACACTGAAGAACAAGTAGCTTGATATTTGCATACCTCTTTGTCGTATGAGTCTNAAACTTCAAATTGGAAAAGGAATGAAGAAGTGAATATATCTGATCTTCTTGACACTGAAGAATAGCTTGATATTTGCATACCTCTTTGTTGTAAGCTTTGTCAGGAGCAATGAAATAATTTCCCTCACTGAATATTGTTGGATCTGCACTCCCACCAATGGCATACATTAACCATTGATCATAATAATTATTGGCCACATGAGCATAACCAAATCTAACCCTGTAACACAAATTATTGTCAAATGTTTAATAATCTTGATTACTGTTGAATACTAGGTTCAACAGCATCTTACACTCACCATTCCAAATTATTGTGATTAATCTTGGATAATCTTAATTATGTACCTTGGCATTCTTTGAACTAGTTCACGGCCAAAATGGTTGAAAACTACCGTGACTTTCATGCTTCTGTCTGCAGTATATTCATCATTGTGCCCCAACAACATAACCTGGAAATTTGATTTAAGGTCAGAACTGAAAAGATCACCTCAACTATCTGTCAAAGGTGGATCCAAGATTTTATTTCATCTAATGTGGATTATTGTACAACCGAATCAATCAACCATACCTCAATTTCAAGTCAGTTGGGGTGACAACTTATTATAAATGTACATATTTTTAAAAAAATTCACTACATGTAATTTGACTCGAAAAGTTGGAGATCACTTACTTTGTCATGCTCAGTGAAGTAATTGTTGGAGATAGTTACTGCAGTTGAAGCATGAGTAACATCGAGTAGGCCATCCGTTGCGCGAGCAAGATAACAATGATCAATCCAAACATTAGACGATCCAAACACACTTATGGCATCACCATCAGAGCCCAATCTTTCACCAACATGTTCAGGACTACTACGAACCATCCCTTTTTTACTAGGCTTACAATCATGGATACTAATCCCATGAATAATAACATTTGTAACATAGTCCAATGTTATGCATGGACCATTAGAAATCTCAATTTTGGCACCTCTGCCATCTATAGTCTTGTGACTATTGACCATAAGTTCATTCTTAAGTGTAAGTACCATGTCCTTTTTGAAAATGATCCAAAGTGGCTCGGACTGAATAACGCCATACCTAAGAGTGCCTGGTTCAGGATTTACAGGATCATCAGAAGGGTCAGTGACCACGTAAATGTCACCATATTTACCTCCTATAGCATTACTTCCAAACCCTATTGCACAATCTGATAAAGCCTTGCGATTGGACGCCCAATCGTCGTTCAATCTCCAACACGAATCAATGACATTTAGGAGGTTTTTGTGAGGCTGAGGATAATAACTTGGAAGATAATCATCTACAGCTTTAGTTTCATGTTCATGACTTGATTTACTAGCTAATACTATGGTAGAAACTGAACATATTACAAGCCATGAAATTAGTTGAAAGGAACTTGATTTTGCCATGGCTTGTGAGATACAACGAGAAGACGCACAAGAATGAAATTTAAATAGTCTGTAGTAGAAGTGGTTAGCATGTTGGAAATATGTCAATTTCAACTAGCTGTTTGGTGAGGTTTTGGGAACTTAATTATGAACGTGAGAGCACGAGCTACACAATAGAAGATGCGTTGAACTATTTGAATAAGCATTGCCTAGGTGCAAATATTAGCATCATAATCATTGACCGAAGAAAGAATAAATTATCCCAAGTTTGAGCTTTGTGACTTCTAAAGTGAGACACGTATTTTCTAAAACGTTAACTGATGTACTGGAAAATCAGGATCATTGTTTAATAAATTCGAATATCATATAACAGTACATAATTTAATATTCATGAAACCAAGACCCGGCCACGTAACAATATTTCCACTCTCACATAGTGGTAGCGCTTATAACATGAGTAAAACTAGGTCACGTTAATCAACTTTATCTTGTCAAATTTTTAATCCCGCGATAACACTTTTTCGACAACAAGAAATTCACTTAAGATAATCACGTCTTTGCTAAGCATCATGCAAAATGACCACTAGCCTTCCATTGTATTTCACAAACTGATTTTATGGGGTCTCGTTATTTCTCCATTCAGCTGGTTTTATCGCAAAACCTGATTTATTGTGTTAGCACCCTTCTAAGAGTGTTAGGAGCCTGATTTCAACTAATGATTGTTTTTTTTCTTTCTTTTATTTTTGTTGATAAAAATGGTGTCGGGCTAATTTGTGCACACCTCGACATGATAATTTATATGAGTCCACCAAACTATAGAGTACCAGATCCTCTATGAGTTTCTACTGAGAATACTAATAAAACATTAAGTAAATAAGACAGAGAGTTTTACGTGGAAAAATTCCTACTCAAGGGGATGAAAAATCACGACCTACACTGGTAGGATTTCAACTTCACTATGAGCAAATTTTAGATTACAACCTATGCAATCTAGAAATTAAACTCTTAATCCCTCACTAACTTGTAATACACCTATTACAAGCCACTTTGCAATACACCTATTACAAAGACTTCAACTCATGACTAACTCTAGTCACGACACAAACACAAAAGGTTTATGGTTTTATAAAGGGGTTCCTAAGCAACGCTTCTAACTAAGCAATTTAGGAATCACAATGAAAAACAATAAAAAAGTTACAACTCAACTAAAGACAACAAAATACTAGGTTTTGGATCTGGTCCGTAGTAGCGTTTAACTTTGTTCTTGAGGCTCTTGAGAATTAAATTTGTTGTTTCAGAAGGCTTGAATGCTTGTAGTGAATTCTCAAGTATTCAAATGATGTTTTGTTGTAATACACCTTTGATGCCATCATTTGAATGATGTAAGCACTTGGTTGGTCAAATGACAAGTGACTACAGAACTGTGCTGCACTGTGTGCACTATTTATGTGGCAGTCACTTTCCAGCTGTACACAGTTGACTTTCGTACTGCTGTCAGGGACACACAAGAGATCAGGTTCCTGTGTTGGTTCTCTGTCTTCTACAGTTGCAGCAGTTCATATTAGCTAGAGTCCGTTGATTAACAATGTATACCAAGTGTGTCAGGTTCCCTATCTGGTTCTTGACAGTAAGTTTGTTAGATCATCAAAACATAAGGCTAAGACATTGAAAACCCATCAATTTCCCCCTTTTTGATGATGACAAACTTATACATTGATGACATATTTTTAGAGCAGAAATAACCAGATGAAGCAACAGGAACTTCACAAGTTTTCCCTGATTTTATGCTTCCCCTTTAATCAGATCCCTGTTTCAATTATACTTCCCCCTTTTGGCATCACTAAAAATACACAAGCAGGCAATCAACATAAAGAAGTCTAGCCTAGCTAAATTATGCCGCATATGTGCACACAACATGATAGAAAATAGAAATAGAGAACACAAGCATTTAGATAACAAAAGAGGATATTTTTTATATATAAAACGTATGCCTTTGCTTATAAAGCAAAGGCAAAGATTGGACTGTTGACATTGAGAGCAGTGTAGATGCATCCCATCTACATCAAAAAAAAAAAACAACTACCAAGTCATTCAAACAAGAACAAAAAATCCAGAAACTAGTCACTGAAAGTGTTGCTTGGAAACTACAGCAAGGGTTTGGAGAACTAGGTCTATTCGGGCATTCGCCGACTTTTGCTCGGTGAGCAGTTTTGCTTTCAGGTTCTCCACTTGTGCTCTAAGATCAACATTTTCTTTTGTCAAAAGAACTACCTCCTCATTTGATTCTGGGGTCCTTTAGGCCTACTGACCTTCCAGGATAGCGTTCCTTGCCTTCAATCTTCGAATCTCCTCAGTTGCGTTGTTTTGAGCATTGATGAGCTGAGTGATTGTCGATGTACTGCCTAACCCCATTTTTCTCGATGCACTCACATTCCTCCAAAATTGTTTGAGAGAAGGTCTGCTTCTTGATCCTTACTTTGCCTTGTCCCAGTGGAACTTTGAAAAACTTAAATATGTGCGTAAGAAGAAACCCATATGGAAGACCATGAATGCTATCCTTGAAAGTTTCTACCTTCTGCATATGTTTAATCATGATGGAATGCAAGCTCACAGGTATAAATCTATCTAGTTGCTCCATTAGATACAAGTCAGACTTGGAAGTCATGGACCTCCTCTCGGCACGGGGTAGTAGAACCTTGTTTACCAGCTCGAAGAGCAACTGATAAATAAGGAGCAAGGCCTTCTTGTGAACCTGGTCCCCTTTCTGGTTTGCATTATACTTCACAATAGCATTTCAGAAGTTTGACCCACACATATCTTTCACTGTAGACACACCAACCGTAGGGACTTTCAGAATATCCCCAAGTAGACTCACATCAAACACGGTATCCACCCCATTAACCAAGGCATAAATGTGGTCGATATCAACAGGAAAGAGGTCGGCATAGAAGCTTTGAACCTCATCCTCATACACCTTGGGTGCATCAATTTGGAATAAATGCCCCCACCGTTGAAACTCAACCATTGGCATGACTTGTCTCATGCCTGTTGATATCCAATTTTTCCCTATAATATTTTTAAAGTGCATATATATCCTTAAAACTATGCATTGGCATCCATGAGTATTTTTCCATAATTTTTACATTTTTTAATTAATTTATCCCAATATTTTCTTCATATAAATAATTACAAAATTGTATTACAGATGATTTTAAAACATCTCTTAATTTAATATTACCATTTATGGCCTTATTAAGTTCCAATTATTTCACAAATTTCCAGATTTACACCTTTTGGTTACAATTGCACTAATTTTGCAATTATAGCACATGTACACATCACTGCATAATTTTGCTAGGAATTGGTCCCTTGTATTTTTTTAAAATATTGAATAATTATTTTGAGGCACTTCTATGCATACAAATTATTTTTTTCTCATTGTTAATTATTTTATAAAATAATTTTATTCAAATATTTGGGTATTTAACAAATAGCCTCTTAATCTCAATATTTTTCGGACTCAAAACCAGCCCAAATCCCTAACCCAATTCACCCAGGCCCAAATGCAATTAGACCCGACCCAGACCCCTCTAATCTTGGCCGTTGATCTCTGAGATCAACGGCCCACATTGGTTCTTACCAATTTTAACTCCAAACGACCCCTCCTAACCTAAATCATTTTCAAGAAGGGTGAATAGTAATTCCGTCACTATTCAGCGACCATAATTCCGGAATCCGGCGGTGGATTGTCGCAAATTTGGTCTCAAAAGAACCCCCTTCTCTTTGCGAACAATCCCCAGTTGGTTTCATCCTCAAATTCATAGCCAATTTTTCCGGATCTTAATTTTTCTCTCGCGATTATTGTAGCATCCAGTCACTAGTTTCTTCTGCTGCTTCACGTCAATGGAGTTTTGAAGAGTTTTATGGCTGCTGCGAACTCTCCCCAGCCTTTGGCTGTGGGAGAGGAAATCCAAAACACCATAGAAACAATTCCAAACACGAAGCAAAAACAGTCATACGCTGAACAACTTCGTCTAAATAAATCTGCCGCTGTTTTGTCCAAGATCGAGTTGTGTCCTGTCAATATCGTTCATGGGGAACCAACGGTGGAATTCACCATCGATGAGGTAAAAGCTTTCACTATTGAAGAGGGGTTACTTCAGGCTGTAATACTCAAGTTTTCATATGGAAAACCAGATTTGAATGAACTGCGACAAGTTTTACCTAAGCAGTTCGATGTCAAGGTATACTGTAACGTGGGGCAACTGGAATATCGTCACATCTTGATAAGGTTTGATTTTTTTGATGATTTTGTTCAGTTCTTATCAAGAACTACTGGTTTTGTTAAGACAAAGGGTGATGAATTCTTCTTTAGAACCTTTCCATGGACGATAGGTTTTAATCTATGTGAAGAAACTTCAAAGGCAGTCGTTTGGATATCCTTACCGGATCTGCCTGCGAATTTTTTTGCAAAAAAATCGTTACTGTCCATAGCATCAGCAATAGGCAAGCCTCTTGCATTGGACAAAATGACTCAAGATCGAACACGACCAAGTACGACAAGGATTAAGGTCTTACTAGACCTACTGGACAAGCATCCTAAGAGAGTTAGGATTCATATTGTTGATAACAATTCTGAAAAAAAGTAGAACATTGTCAGTTGATAGTATATGACAACCTACCAAAATATTGTACATGTTGCAAGCATCAAGGACATGACGAAAGATCATGTCGTTGGAGGATAAAAAAAAATGAGGAGAAAGCTCCAGTCAATGAAATTGAGGGCCTTGACAGTGTAGAAAAACTAGAAGGTGATGCTAGGGATTTTCTTAACGCAAAAAGAGGGAGACAACTGGAAATTGAAGTAGCAAAAGATCATGGAGATGAACAACAGGTTTTGCAGTCAACTGTTGTTATTGCAACTGATAAGGTTGGTAATGCTGATGCAAGAAAAAATCCAGATTCTGGGCAGCAACAGGTATTGAAGATGCAACTTAGTGATGTTCAAATTGATATGGTTA